TGTTTAAAAAGTACATCTACGTTGCAGGATAATGTTTTAACATGATTTTTGAATGACTACCTCATCTCTGTACCCCACACAAACAATTATCTGTATGGTCCCTCAGTTGGGCAGTGAATTGTAAACACAGATTCAACCACAAAGACCGGCAGATTTTCCAATGCCTTGCAAAGAAGGGCACCTATTGGTAGATGGGTAAACATTTTAAAAAAAAGCAGACATTGAATATCCGTTTGAGCATGGTGAAGTTATTAATTACACTTTGTATGGTGTATCAATACACTCAGTCACTACAAAGATACAGGCCTCCTTCCTAACTCAGTTGCCGGAGAGGAAGGAAATTATGCCAATGGTGACTTTAAAACAGTTACAGAGTTTAATGGCTGTGATAGGAGAAAACTGAGGATGGATCAACAACATTGTAGTTCTCCACAATATTAACCTAAATGACAGAGTGAAAAGAAGGAAGCCTGTACAGAATAAAAATATTCCAAAACATGCATCCAGTTTGCAACAAGGCACTTAAAGTAATACTGCAAAAAATGTGGCAAAGAAATGTACTTTTTGTCCTGAATACAAAGCGTTATGTTTGTGGAAAATCCAACACAACATTACTGAGTACCACCCTTCATATTTTCAAGCATGGTGGTGGCTGCATCATGTTATGGGTATGCTTGTCATCAGCAAGGACTAGGGAGTTTGTTTAGGATAAAAATAAATGGAATAGAGCTAAGCACAGGCAAAATCATAGATGAAAACCTGGTTCAGTCTGCATTCCAACGGACACTGGGTGTCACACTCTGGCTCCGGGACTTGTATTGAGCCAGGGTGTATTCGTTTTGTGGGGGTTTGTTTTGGTTAGGTTGGGAATAGGGTGTGTTCATTTGGGTGTGTGTGGTTTTGGGTTAGTTCTTGTGTAGTCATGTGACTCCCAATCGGAGGTAACGAGTGTCAGCTGTCGGCTCGTTATCTCTGATTGGGAGCCATATTTATCTGTATGTTTTCCTTTGGGTGTTGTGGGTTTTTGTTCCGTTTCGGTCAGTGTTAACCGTGGACTTCATGAGTCGTCTGTTGTTTGTAGTTCGAAACTTTGATTAATAAAGTCATGTTTTCTTGCACACGCTGCGGCCTTGGTCTCCTTCGCTCCTAGACGACCGTGACAGAAAAACCCACCAATCTAGGACCAAAGCGGCGTGTCAAGCGGCAACAGGACCAACCTACACAGGATTCATGGACATGGGAGGAGATACTGGATGGAAAGGGTCCCTTGGGCACAACCGGAGAATATCGCCTCCCTCGTGAAGAGCTGGAGGCACTAAAAGCCGAGAGGAGGCGATATGAGGAGGCAGCACAGAGGCAAGGCTGGAAGCCCGTGAGGACTACCCAAAAATTTCTTGGGGGGGGGCCTTAAGGGGAGTGTGGCGAAGTCAGGTAGGAGACCTGCGCCTACTCCTGTACTTACCGTGGAGAGCGAGGAGTACGGGCAGACACCGTTGTTACGCAGGTAGAGCGCATGGTGTCTCCTGTACGCGTGCTTAGCCCGGTTCTGGTACATTCCAGCTCCACGTATCGGCCGGGCTAGATTGAGCGTTGAGCCGGATGTCATGAAGCCGGCCCAAGCATCTGGACACCAATGCGTCTCCTCGGGCGGCTTACATGGCACCAGCCTGTAACGCATGGTGTCCCCGGTGCGCCTACTAGCCCGGTGCGGGTTATTCCACCTTCCCGTACTGTCGGGCGACGGGGAGCATACAACCAGGTAAGGTTGGGCAGGCTCAGTGCTCAAGGGAGCCAGTAAGCCTGCACGGTCCGGTATTTCCGGCGCCACCTCCCCGCTCCAGCCCAGTACCACCCAGTGCCTACACCACGCACCAAGCCTCCTGTGGTCCCCAGAGTCCTGTGCGTCCTGTTGCTGCTCCCAGCACTAGCCCCTGAGATGCGTGTCCTCAGCCCGGGACCACCAGTTCCGGCACCACGCCACCAGGCCTATAGTGCGTCTCGGCCGGCCCGAGTCTGCCGTCTGCCCAACGGCGCCTGAACTGCCCGTCTGCCCAACGGCGCCTGAAACTGCCCGTCTGCCCAACGGCGCGTTGAAACTGCCCCGTCTGCGCCAACGGCGCCTGAATGCCTGTCTGCCCAACTGCGTCTGAACTGTCGTCTGCCAAGCGCTGCATGAACTGCCCGTCTGTACTGAGCCTGCAAAGCCGCCCAGTCTGCCATGAGCCTTCAGAGCCGTCCCCGCCAGACGGAGCCGCTAAAGCCTTCCGCCAGACAGGAGCAGCCAGAGCCTTTCCGCCAGACAGGATCAGCCAGAGCCTTCCGCCAGACAGGATCAGCCAGAGCCTTCCGCCAGACAGGATCAGCCAGCCACGGCCTTCCGCCAGACAAGGAATCAGCCAGAGCCTTCGCCAGCCATGAGCAGCCAGATCCGTCAGCCATGCCATGAGCAGCCAGATCCGTCAGCCTGCCAATGAGCAGCCAGATCCGTCAGCCAGCCATGAGGCAGCCAGATCCGTCAGCCAGCCATGAGCAGCCAGATCCGTCAGCCAGCCATGAGCAGCCAGATCCGTTAGGTAGCCAGCCATGAGCAGTCCAGCCAGGATCCGCCCAGAGCCGTCCAGCCGGGGTCCGCCAGCCAGCCAGGATCCGCCAGAGCCAGCCAGCCAGGATCCGCCATTTAGTCGGTGCTGCCCCTTAGTCTGGTGCTGCCCCCTATCCTGGTGCTGCCCCTTAGTCCGGTGCTGCCCCTTAGTCCGGTGCTGCCTCTTAGTCCCGGTGCTGCCCCCTTAATCCGGTGGGGTT